CGTGGCCACCATCCTGCTGCTGCACGCCCTGCTGGCTGTTGGATGCTTGGTGGGACACTGCCAGTCCTTTTCCCTGATCTCTCCTTTCCTAGGACAGGTGGTGTTATGGGACAGGGAAGGAAGGATTGGCTGGTTACAGGAAAACCTCTGTGGTGGTGTTCGCAGGGGTCCCAGGACAAGGGAAGAGATGAGGGTCTGACTTCATGTTTCAGAAGGCTAATTTATTATTTTCTGATATATATTATATTAAAACTATACTGTAGAAGAAAGACTTTCATCAGAAGCTAGCAAGGAATAGAAAGGAATGATAATAAAATCTTGTGACTGCTCACAGCCTCGACACAGGTGGCTGTCATTGGTCATCAAGTAAAAACAATTTCACATGCTGGGTAAACAATTCTCCAGATCACATTCCAAAGCAGCAAAACACGGAGAAGCTGAAGTTGCTCAGCTTCTCAGGAGAAAAGATCCTGGCAAAAGGATTTTTCATAAAATATGCAACAAACCTCCAATGTAAAAATTGCAGTTATTTTAAATGTAGCAAAAATTGATGTCAGTGTGACCTGGACAGTGCTGGTAATAAATTCAATAATCAATTATGGAGTCATAGAATATCTCTAATTTGGAGGGTACCCATCAGGATCATTGAGTCCAATTCATCATAGTACCAGCAAAGCCTTAATCTTTATAGTATCCAGTTGCACTCTATTCCAATGAGTACTATGCTTAGTCCTTTAGAAGGATTAAATGTTCACTATGAAGTGTGGGCTTAGGAGTTTTAGCAGATTTGTTTTCATACACAAGTAAGTGTTAGAAAACAAAAAATCCTGAGGCCACTGAAATACAGAATGAACACTTCAATTATTTGTTTCCTTATTGCAGTGGGTAGAAGAGTGTCACCAGGCCTCAGTTTCCACAGCTTCCAGAGTAGATGGATCTGTGTATCTGTGTTTGATGGGTGTGGAAAGAAAGAGCTTGGATGAGGCAGCACTGTATGTTTCTCTCTAAATAATTTTTTTCTCTGATAATGTAGGCATACTTTTTTGATGCCCCTGAACTGGAGATTTCTGCGCCTATTATTCCTGCACCTATTATTCCTGCTCACAATGGAACAACAGTAATAACAAAGAGTCACTAAATAAGGTGAGAACCCTGTCTACACTTCCTTTTTCTGCAGTCATCACAGACATCCTGAAACTTTTCCCCATCACTGTGGTTGAATGGAAAGGGATTTAACAGACTAATTTTGCTAAATAGGGTCTATATATAAATAAAATTTATTAACCCTTTACAAAAACTCCAAAGCATTTATTTGAATTTTAAGTGAAACTTAAGCAATAAACTGTTAGACTCCAGTTTTTCTTTCCTTTTAATACGAAAAGCAGATTGGGTTTTTCCCCCCTTGATGTTTGAGACAGTGTTTCAGAGCAGCAGCCCTGTGTGGGGACATCTGTGTAGGCTCTGGGCAGGGCTGACTCAGAGCTGAGCCATCCATCCCTCTGCACTGCATTCCTTCTCTGGGATGGCTTTGAGCATTTGCTTCCTGGCATCCAGGACTGCTGCCAGCAGCAGATGACATTTGAATTCTGTTGGATAATTCTCTGGAGGAGGTCCAGGAACAGCCTAATAGCCAGGCCACTCCAAGTACACCAGCCACAAGTGCGATTGTGAAAACCTGGATATTTTTTGAATAGAAGCTATATTAGATGTAAGATAAATAATATGAAAAATAGCCAAATGTGCCTAGTGAAAGGCACATTAAAAATTACACAATCCAGTCATGCAAGTCAATTTTAGTGGCTTTTTCTCCTGCAAAATCAGCTTTTTCATTCCAGATGCCTAATAAGAATCAATATGGCAGTAATGGATTTTAGTATTGAGACTTAAATATGTGCCCTATTGTGTCCTCTGGTGAGGAGCTGAAATAGTCACTGGAGTTATTTATTTCTTTCAGATGACAGCACCAGTTTCTCCATCTAGACAGTAGTTCTATTTTAGATTTTTTTTTCACTGAAGACCTTGGAAACGTCAAGGACAAGGGATGCATTTTGCAGCAGGATGGACAGCGATGTCCCATGGACATACGGACATCTCCATGTTCCAGGGGGAGAGTGAACCAGTGATCCCTGTCTAGAGCAGAAAGGAGTTGCTTTTGTTTGGTTGGGATTATTTTATGTTTTGTTTTTGCTTTTTGGGGGGGTTGTTTTGTTTTTCTTTAATTCTATCCTCGCCCCACTGTTTTGCTTCTGAATAAAGCCTTCTGAAGGCGATGTGATTTGTACTTTTTGTGCACAAAGCATCTTAACGCTCTGGAGCTGTGGGGAGGTTTGGTCCAAGGCCAGGTGTTGTGACAGGACTGGACCTCCTTTGAGGTGGGTCTGTGCCGCCAGTGAGGCTTTCAAAGTGTAAATAAACAGACGTAACGTGAGCTACTGTGACAATTCCTTTCCTCGCCGCCCGGGCTGCATTCTGTCCCCTTAGACACAGAGGAGGCCTCAGGCCGCCATAGCCGCGCGGGGGACGCCGCGAATTGTAGTTTCCACG